AAAGCTAGTTTCAAGAAGTTGCCTGATCTTAATATCCAAAGGAAATATCAAAAATCAGACACCCGAACTGGTTGTCCAACTATGATTAGGTTTACAGTCGATGAAGCTGGATATTGGAAGGTGAAAAATTTTATTATGAAGCTAGCATAAGGGTGTAGACATATACTATGTTCACTTGAGAAAATTTTTATAATGATTGCTATGATCCTAAAATACATATTTAAAGGATTCATATTAAAGGAATGTATTGAAACAATTATCCTCTTATTAAATAAAAAAAAATTAAAAAAATCAAGTCATTTGTGTTGCATATTTACTGCGTATACAATACGTCCTGGATGCATATATAGGGCGTATCTTGTGCATATTTTCTCTAGCAAAAAAAAATCACTTTTTTACAAAAGGAATCATGGATCAATGGTGAAAAACTCAATATTCAGTATTTCCTTCTTCTATTCTACACGAGATGAAGAATTTCAAACTCCTTTTATTCTCCATATAGCTCTATTGAATGCTAAACCATTAAAACATACTCCTACTCTCTAGAACTATAACTTATGTAGCATAAGGGTGTAGATATTTATTATGTTCACTTGAGAAAATTTTTATAATGATTGCTATCATCCTAAAATACAAATTTAAAGGATTCATATTAAAAGAATGTATTCAAACAATTATCCTATTATTAAATAAAATAATTTTGAAAAATCAAGCAATTTGAGTTGCGTATTTACTGCGTCCAGAATGCATATATAGGGTGTATCTTATGCGTATTTTCTCTAGCCAAGAAAAAACTACTTTTTTCAAAAGGAATCATGGATTAATGGTGAAAAACTCAAAATTTAATGTTTCCTACTTCTATTATACATGAAACGAAGAATTTCGAACTCCTTTGATTCTCCATATAGCTCTATTGAATGCTAAACCATTAAAACATACCCCTACTCTCTAGAACTATAATTTATGTAGCATAAGGGTGTAGACATATACTATGTTCACTTGAGAAATTTTTTATAATGACTGCTATGATCCTAAAATACATATTTTAAGGATTCATATTAAAGGAATGTATTGAAATAATTATCCTCTTATTAAATAAAAAAATTTTGAAAAATCAAGTCATTTGATTATGCATGGACTGCATATACAGTACATCTTGCATGCATATAGACGGTGTATATATCTTGTGCGTATTTTCTCTAGCCAAGAAAAAACCACTTTTAATCACAAGGAATCATATATCCATTGTGAAAAACTCAACATTCAATGTTTCCTGCTTCTATTATTCATGAGATGAAGATTTTCAAACTCCTTTGATTCTCCATATAACTCTATAGAATGCTAAACCATTGAAACATACCCCTACTCTCTAGAATTATACCTTATGTAGCATAAGGGTGTAGGCTTATAATATGTTCACTTTAAAAATTTTTATAATAATTGCTATGATCCTAAAATACTTACTTAAAGGATTCATATTAAAAGAATGTATTGAAATAATTATCCTCTTATTAAAAATCAAGTCATTTGAGTTGCGTATTGACTACGTCCTAGATGCGTATATAGGGCGTATCTTGTGCGTATTTTCTCTAGTCAAGAAAAAACCACTTTTTTACAAAAGGAATCATGGATCAATGGTGAAAAACTTAACATTAATTTTTTTCTTCTTCTATTCTACATGAGACGAAGAGATTTAAACTCCTTTGATTCTCCATATAGCTCTATTGAATGCTAAACTATTGAAACATACCCCTACTCTCTAGAACTATAACTTATGTAGCATAAGTGTGTAGACATATACTATGTTCATTTGAGAAAATTTTTATAATGATTACTATGATCCTAAAATACGTATTTAAAGGATTCATATTAAAGGAATGTATTGAAATAATTATCCTCTTATTAAAGAAAAAGTCATGAAAATCAAGTCATTTGTGTTGTGTATTTACTGAGTATACAATGCATCCTATATGCGTATATACGGCATATCTTGTGTGTATTTTCTTTAGCCAAGAAAAAACCACTTTTGATCACAACGAATCATATATCCATTGTGAAAAACTCAACATTCAATATTTTCTGCTTCAATTATTCACGAGACAAAGATTTTCAAATTCCTTTGATTCTCCATAAAACTCTATAGAATGCTAAAGATATTTATTATTAAAGAATTTTAACCCATTATGAATTTATGAACTTCATTATTGCATTAATTATGTTGTTACATGTTCCTTTATTACTGTTTGTCAGACATTTGTTTCAGTTGGTTGAGGTAGTTTGACGTGACCGCTTTGATATCTACTAGTATTGATGGCATTCATTATTATTTTGACCTAATTTATTACTCTCTATTATTGGTTTGACCATCTTCTCTATATAAGAAGTTTACCTCTTACCATCTACTATGTGAGATTTTTATAAAAATTTCAACTAGGTTTTTGCATTGCCGCATCCTCATGAAATCTCTACATTGAAGTTTCAGCAAAAAAGATTGCCTAAACCTTTAGCACAAGGATTGCCATGAAGAGTCGGCAAGCAAATATACAGTTAACATTTTTCTAAAAAACCACACAATAATAGTCATTATGTGTTCTTTTATCAATGATGTACCTAAGGATAAAGATTTTTTTATAGAAAAGGCCGGCCAAGAAGGAGAGAGAAGCTCCACAATTCAAGGAAGGATTTGGAAAGGATTTGGAAAAGATTTTTGAAGGTTCAGATGCTAAGGAAAGGAGAAAGTAGAAGGTGGCCGGTCATCTATGGATGACCGGAACACCAACTCTACTGTATCTACCGCAAATCCAATAATGTTGAATTCAAAAGGTAGACTCTCATTCAAACGCATCTCCCCTCTCAATTTTCGGATTTTAGAATCACCTCTTGTTATCAAAGAGGGAGGTTTGTTGGCCAAGAATAAGCTTTTACCGGATTTGAGTAAAGGGAAAGAGGTAATGTCGTTTCCTAACAAGTTGCCAAAATCCCCTTTATCTCGTTTTATTTCTGGAGCAAATGACAAAGAAGCTTCTTCTTCAAGGAGAAGTTTTGTTGATATCTTGAAGAATGCAAGGTTATTGACAAGGATAATGCCAATATCATTAATCCAATTACTTCTGAGAATTCTAATGTGTGGATCAAAAAACCACACATTAAAATCAGCATTAGCAGCAATATTTCTCCATTAATTTCACCAGCACCGTCTAAAGGAGCTTCAGTTACACCAAGTTCCACGGTATAGGATGAATGGATATCAATATTCGATTCAGAACCAGAAATTTTGGCTTTAACATCATCCTCTTCTATCTCCTAAATTTGAGCAGCTACTATTTCAAAATTTGAATTTTGAGCATCTGTTATTCCAGCAACAGCAGCCAACTCAGCATTAACAACTTTCTTATCTCCATCCCGTGCTATTTCAACTTCTGAATTTTGAACTTCTGTTATTACAGCAACAAATGCCAACTCAGTATTACCAACTTCGTTAACTCCATCCAGGATTCGTGTTGTTTCAATTTCTGAATTTTGAACAAAATTATGAATAAACATATCTTGATCGGCAAATAATTCATTAAAATAGTCCTTTGGAATATTATCCAGAATTTGAACGGATTTGCACACAGCTTCTTCAATTAAAATTTTCTGCACGTTAACATTGTTAACAAATTATAATTCAGCCTCCATAATATCATCTCCTTCATGAGATAGAACACTGTATCTATTGGAATCTTCAAGATCTGTAGTCTTATCAGATACAATATGAGCAACATTTTCCTTAATTACTTCAAAATTCCTACTCAAATTCATCTTAACATGATTAATCTTAGAGAGAAAATCACCTTTCTTCACATCAAATAAAGTTTTTTGCCTTTTTCTGTTTTTAAACTTTACAAGCATCCAAGGCCCATGAGAGTTATTATCAACTAGAAATGAACCTTTAGCAACTTCATTATCAACCATATTCAGTGAATTAGGGACATTTGGACATATAGAATCTTTATGTCCAATCCTTCCACATTTGAAACAAAGAGATGAAATATTTCATATTCAAATCTTTGAAAAAACCTTCCATTTAGACCTTCAACCCAAATCCCACAAGGAAGTTTAGAATTTAATTTAATATGGACACAAGCTCTAGCAAATTCCCTTCTTCCCCATCTAAATATGTTGCCATCTAATAATAAAGGAGTCCCAATTCTAGAAACTATTCTAGTAATATTGGTTTCATCCCAGCAATGTAGAGGCAAATGAGGTAGACGAACCCAAATGTTAGAAGAAATCCCATCCATGGAGATAGGAGAGAAGTTAGGAGACCATCTATCTAAACCAATGACAAATCCCCTAACATACCAAAGTCCTCCATTAAGAACTTCCTCCATTGCTTCAAAGGATTGAAAAGAACACAAAAGTCAATCCAAACCAAGAGAGGTTATATGAAACCCTCCAAATTTAGTCCATTGCTTCCTTAATTCAAGAGAACAGATTGAAAAAGGCAAGTTCTTACACAGAATTTTTACCACCAATGAATTTCTCAACACTTGAACATTGGCTTTTTCATTTTCCAATCAAGTTTGACAACATTAACATCATCATTTCCATCAAAAACTTCATTGAAATTAATTTTAATATCTATTTTTTTAATCCACACATTAGAACTATCCATTCCAGATGAAGAATTACCATCACCAATATCATTCATCAAAGGATTATTATCTTTGCAACCCGAAGAAGAAGCTTCTATATCATTAGGTTTAGGGACAAAAACCGATCTATTTGAGAATGACTTACTGTTGAAATCAGAAATAATTTCTTTTCCTTTTCCTGATTCTGGAACAATCTTCTTCAAGGATACCACACCTCCCTCTCTGATTATCAGAGGAGAGTTCATAAAATTGCGAGAAATGCTGTGATTGAATGAAAATCTATCTTTTGAATCCAACAAAGTTGGACGCGTGATAGATAATAAGTTTGAGGTGTTCCAGTCATTCAAGAATGACCGACCACTTTCTTCCATCTTCAAAGTTGACACTTAAAAAGTTCTTCAAAATCTTTCCTCTTTTTGTGCAGCTTGTCTCTCCTCTCCTCTCCTCTCGTCTCCCAACCGAAGAACTTTTAAACGTGCATTATTACACTCTTCGGCAATCTGGAAAAAATGGCGCTGGTCTCAGCTAGCCGTTTCCGCTCTGCTCTCCTCCACCAACTACTCCAGTTCTCCTCTGCATCCACATTCGCAGCTGGTGGTCACGCCTTCGACCCGGAGATTCGACGGCTGGCCAAATTCCAGCGTTTCACCGACATCGAAGCCCTTCTTGAACCCCGCAAGTTAAATCTTCCGTCCGACTCTTCATCCCGCGAACCCTACCTCGCCTCCTTCATCATTGCTTACGCATCCGCTGGCATGCTGGACCACGCCGTCCGCACCCTTGACGAGCTCCCTCGCCTTGGCTCCTCTCGTACCATTCTCTCTTTAAATGCCCTTCTCTCCGCTTGCAACCACTCTAAAACCCTTTCCACCCGTGTCCCTGACCTCTTCTCTAACCTATCCCGCTACCACTCTCTCTCCCCTGACAAGATCTCCTATGGCATCCTTATCAAATCTCTTTGCCTTGCCCGTGACTCCTCTAAAGCCCTTTCTGTCCTCAAAGAGATGGATAACAAAAGGATAGAGATCACCGCAATATCCTACACAACCATTATGGATTCCCTATACAAGGAAGGGAAGCCTGAGGAGGCCGACCGACTCTGGAAGGAGATGCGCGCCAAAGGAGTTGCACCAGACGTGGCTGCCTATAATGTTAGGGCCATGTACTGGGCGGTAAATGGGGGCCCGGATGATGTGCTTAGGCTGATCGAAGAGATGAAGGCTGATGGGATGGAACCTGATATATTCACTTATAATTACTTGATGACTTGCTATTGCAAACATGGGCGGGTAGATAATGCGAAGAGGGTATACAGGGAGCTTGGACAGAAGGGATGTGAGCCCAATGCGGCCACTTATAAAAATTTGCTTTATTCCCTTTGCAAGAATAATGATTTTGTGGGCGGACTTGAGGTTTTTGAGGATTGTGTAAAGCACAGGAGGGTTCCGGATCTTGGTTCCGTGATGGCCCTGGTGAAGGGGTTGATGAAGGATTCCAAGATCAGGGCGGCAAAGAGGGTGGTTACCGGCCTGAGAAAGAAGTTCCCTGAAGAATTTTCAGGTAGTTGGATGAAGCTGGAGAATGTAGTTGGGTTGAGCAATGATGAAAAGGTACCTGAGGTTGAAAGCTAGCTTGAAAGTTTGAGAATAATTTAATATTTTTTAATATTGTGCTTTCTTCTTAGTGATTTTCAGAGCAATTTTACTTCAACTGTTAATGGATCAGTTTATCTAGTTGTTGTTTGGTGGAATAGCAATGGTTCTAATTCGCTTTTACGTTAGATGAAATACAATAATTTTATCATCAGGTTTGGTTTCATATTGTGTATTACCAGTTTGTTGAATTTGGTCTCTTTTCATTAAAGTTCTAGCTTCTTTTTAGAATGGAACACCTATGTTACTGTCATGTATAATAATGGGGTATCTAAATGCTTACCACAAAATGTTTTTGTATTCTCATATCTGACACCTCAATTTTTATATTTACTTGCATAATTCTTCAATCTCTATATCACATACAAATACCACTCTTAATAATTTATTTTAAAATAAAACACATATTTTCATGCATATACTTTGATATGTTTTAGATACAAAAGTGACTTATAAGTAAGAAAGCACAAGATAAAAAAATATGCATTGATATCAACTTATAATTTAACATTGATAAAGAAACTCTTTTTTAAAAAAATTGCTTTGTGAAGATCATCAGCCATTTTGATTCTCATTTAAAAGTTATGGATTAAACTTTTTTCATATTTCACTTCTTCTGGAAGAGTTAATTTAATCTTTGGATCTACATATGCTATGTTTTAAATTGATTTTGGAGTTGTTTGGTTGTACGCAATACTAGCATAAATCAATTCAAATGCAAGACTTTTGATTTTTTTTTTGTTTAGTTGGAAGAAAAGCAAATGCAGTGTAAATTTTAAATATATTTACAATTTTTCTTTAGTTTATTTTCAATGTATTTGGAATTTTCTAATTTGGATGAATTCCAAATATAGCACTTGTGAAGTGCCACTAGTCATTGCCCATCGGCGCCACCAGTTATTGCCTGTAGGTACCCATCTCAATTGTTAGCAATGGATCCTGCTGTCAGCATAGATTGCAGACTAGCTATTATGGTGACACTCAAGCGTACACGCCGTTTAAGGTAATAAAGTCATAAGAAAATATCTTTTTCATGAGGAATCAGCTGCTATCCTTACAAGTTAATTACTAATTTTGTAGATTACTTAATTTATCTTAAAAGTTTAATATTTGTTTTATATTCGGCAAGAATAAATAAAACTAAAGCAATTTTTTATGATTTCTTAATTTTATTGTGAATCTAAATTGATGATTGATGTTGTAACTTTGTGCATGTAGATTTGGTCTAAATAATTTTAATTGTGAATAAAAGCATTAGTAATTCTTCATCTCTATCAAGCTTGTTGGAATTCAAATAAAGTTATGATAATACATACTCTATGATAATTACTTGATTTACTGCATGCATCATATCTCTTTAATGATTCCAAAACTCCAAAAGTTCAAATAACTATATTTTCAGGATTCTGTTCAAGTTTCCTTGATTGTTACATAATGCTTCTGTTGAGTACATAGATCACACTAAATTTTAAGTTTGTGAATGACCAAGACACAATTGAATAAAGATTGGGGAAATAGGAAACATTTACTTGCAATGACGAATATAAACCGAATATATTACATATAACACCAATATCAAATCATATATTTAGAAAACAAAATAGCTATTATGTTGCATATTCAACAAAACAAAATTCACTATTGTCATGGCAAATCAAAACAAAAGTATAAAAAGTTGGAAAGTTCAAACCCAAACCATCATTGTATTCAAGACTCACTCTTCTCCAAGAGTTTGCTTCTGATCCTTCTTCCAACACACAAAACATTTAGAAGCACACTCACACACTAAAAGAACATATAAAAAAAAGAAAGGAAGAAACCCTAGGTCATATTCCTACACCTCCACAACGCTGAGGTTGTTCGGTGTTGTAGCGCTGCTCCTAGCGATTTGGTGCTTCGTCAATGGGTGATCGGTCGTTGCGGCGCCAAGCTCTTTATCTTGAATCTTAAATTTAATCCTTCAGATGTTGTAAGGTCTAGCGCTATGGCATTTTATTTTATTTCTATGACATTTGATTTTAGTTTTGCGCTGCCAGATGTGTGTCGTTACGGCACTGTCTTCTTTGATCAAAAGAGGAATATGACCTCCTCTTCTTTGAGATGCTCATCTTATTTGCTATTTGATTGAGAGAGAGTATAAACATGCTCAAAGCTTAAGAGCTTTCGGTGTGCAGTGAAATATGAACCCCTTAGCCCCTATATATAATAAGTTGCAATGTCGTGATGTTGCACAAGGCAGTGCTGTGAGACTATCTCAATAATTTTCTCCTAACCAGTCAAAATCCCAATTTCAATTCTCACTAAAATTCTGTGAAATGTCATTATAGCATTGTGACACTAGGTTAAGCAGCATTGAGACACTTCACTTTGGGATTCTACAATGACAGTTTTTGACTGGTTAGTACTGCAACATTTAAAACACGTCATAACACTATTGTGTTGTAAAATGCAGCATCGCTATGCTTCACCAGATTCAATGAATGTATATACTAATGTTGCGACACTAAGATGTATGGCATTGCCATGTTTTAGGAAAATATCAATTTCATATAAAAGGGACAATGTTGTGGCACTGTAATGATGAATGTTGCGCTGTTGCACAGGATTCTCATGCAAATAGGATTTTTCTTGGTACTTCTTCCTATATATATAATAGCACAACATATACACTCACAAGTCCATAAATTTACATAAATCACAAGCACATAACATATGTTCTTGGAATGTTTCCCAAGCATCACTTGGTTTTATAGTCTTTAGCCTGACTATGCTAAACTTTACTTTAGGGCTGAGCTAACTCTAGGGTCATCCTAAGGCAGTTTATCTCTCCTCCTAGATTAAGCTTAAGTCTCTTTCCATTTGCTTTGAGTTCTTGGGCAGTTTTCCTATCCTCAATTTCAATTGCATCATAAGGATACACTTTGATTACAGTAAATTGTCATAATCACTTGGACTTCACCTTTTCAGAAAATAATTTCAATCTTGTATTAAATAAAATCACTTCCCATCCACGAGCAAATTCCCTCTTAATTATCTTACGTTCATACTATATCTTAATTTGTTTCTTTTAAATTCTAGTATTTTCATAAGCTCTCAATCTAAACTCATTCAGTTCATTTAATTGTAGTAACCTTTTTGCTTTTGCATCCTTCAAATTATAGTTCATCTTCTCTGCTTAAGAAGCCTTATGTTCTAACTCAATGAGTAAATGATAGCTTTTTCCCATATACTAATTTCTAGGAAGACATTCCTATGGGTGTCTTGAAAGTGATCATATAATCCCATAAAGCTCTATCTAACCTTAGCGTCTAGTCCTTTCTATTTGGATTGGCTGTTTTCTACTAAATCTTTTTTTATCTTTCTATTAGTTTTTTTAGCGTGGCTACAAGTTTGGGGATGATAAATAGTAGAAGGCATGGTGGGGACATTTTCTCAGTAACTTCTTAAATATCTCTCAAGTTTTATAGACTGTCTTATTATCTAATTGGGTTAATGATATGATGTTGTTGTTAAGTTTGACAATCTTGAAAGGAGGAAAAGTTTTTTACTAATAATTTTTGAGCTAAGTCATTTCAAATGATAATAAAGCATTGGGGCAAGGAGTTTAGGTATAACTTAGTTCTGTCTTTGAGAGAAAATGGGAATAACTTCTAATGACATCATTAAATACTCCATTATAATTGTAAGTTGCACATATCCCCAAAAAATTGATTTTGTGTAGTTTAAGTTCCTCTACAAGGGATATCCCCCAAATAAAAATTTTGTGTCATTTGAATGATGGTAAGTTTAAGCTCAAAATTATTTGTGTGAATGTTAGGTCTATTAATACTTTGGTGGATTCTATCTACTAATGAATCAATATAATATCTAAGTGGTTTGGGTTGATTATCTTTGTTGATTTGATTAGCTATAGATTCTATTTTTTTACTTTTCTTGATTTTTTAATTTTTTTATAGAAATTTTCAATTTTTGAGTCAAATGGTTATGCGAACCACTAAGTATCGATCCTACAAAGCAATCTATTGGTTCCATCGGCTTTTCGCTTGAGAGAGAAAGTTCGCAGGAGGTTCGAATTTTGTTTTGCGTGGGCTTTTTCGGGTTCGGTGGAGCCGGCGCCGGAGGATGCCGGCGTTTCTTTGCCGGTGTCCATGAATGCCTCGCGTTCTTCTGGCTTCTTATGAACTACTGGTACGGTTTCGAATGGAATTGTGATTAGAGAATGGTCAAGACCTTCGAGCCGTCAAACTTTTGTTGAGGGTAAGGGGAAGAATGTTGTGATGGAGGACATGACTACTAAGAAGGATATGGGGGAGAAGAGAAATCCACGTTTGGCTGTTCTTGAACCTGTGGCTTCGGATGATTTAATTTTACGGGTTAATAATTTTTCCGGAGTTCTTGATGTGCATAAGGATCGGAATGTTGCTAAGGTTCTGTCGTTGGTCGTTGATCAGAAGAATGATGAAAATTTGATTGACGGTGAGGGTCCTGTAAAGGTTTTAGAGAATTCTGAAATCTTGAAGGTGTATCCGATTGGTAAATCTTTTCAGGAGAGTAATGGTGAGATTGCTGATGCATGGTCGAAGCCAAAGCATATCAAGATATCGTTTAACAGGGATCAAGCTGAATTTTCTGAAGATGGAATTGCAGTGAGGTTAAATTCTGAAATGGAGGCAAAGAACTCAGAGATTTTAAAAAATTCAATTGTAATTAAGGTATTGGGAAGTAATGTACCATTCTCTGTGTGTAGTATTGAATTGAGGAGGCAATGGAGCAAGTATGGTGGTTTTCATATGACTTCAATTGGCATGAACCGGATATTATGTTCGTTTAAAACGAATGAGGTGGTAGAAGAAATTTTGAATGGCGATCCGTGGTATGTGAGTGGATTCATTGTCGGTATGGACAGATGGTCACCTGCTTTTGATCCAAATTCGTTTAAGGGAATTTCCGCTCCAATATGGATCAGACTCCCGTGCTGGCCACTGTATTGTTGGGATAAGGATAATTTGGCGAGAATTGCATCTTGCTTTGGAACCCCTATGTACTTAGATGGTAATACTTTTCGCTGGGGAAAGCGTGAGTTTGCTCGAATTTGTGTTAGGATTGATTTGGAGAAAAAGTTATTGAATGGTGTTTGGGTAGATGGCTCAGCTGGGAGGTTCTTCCAACGTGTGGAGTACGAGAAGATCGATCTTCTTTGCTACCAATGTGGCAAAGTGGGCCATGACGTTATTGCCTGTTCGGAGAATGTATCACTTGGGATTCAAGATCAAAAGTTGAGGAAAACAGATGCAGCTATTGATGAAGGTGATAAGGCAGTGATTGATGGAAAGAAGTCAGTGATCATTTCAGAATTTGGCCCTTGGATTCATGTCCATTTCAAAAACAGACGGGTGTTCAATAGTAATGCTACTAATAGGAGAGTAATTGGTGATAAGACTAATGCTGGGAACAGAAGTAGTAACAGCCAGAGTGTTGCTGTTCGGAAGGAAAATCAGTTGAAGAAAGTGGTAGAGGTTGTTGTTAAAAACTCTGTCCTAGCTTCGGATATTTGCCCAGGTTTTGAGAGAACAGAGGGTATTAAACCTCCAGAAGTTCAGTTAATCAATAGATTTGCTGCGTTAACTGATTTCAGTGAAGAAGAAGACAGAGGTAAGATTGAAGAAACTGATACAGCAAAGGAGAAGGATATGAATGTTACTGATATAGATTTCATGCGTATGGGTGGGGGGTCTCAAAGTGGTGCTGCTAAAGTGAAGTTAGCCAAGGAGTTGAGATCTTTAGGGCTAGTTGAACCTGATTATAAGAAGAAAAAGAGGGATGGAAGGATGAATTCCATCAATGGGGAGAAATCCCCTTCAATTGTTTAAATGACCTCTTTATTGTTTTGGAATTGTAGGGGGGCAAGGAAGAAGGAGGCCTCCTTATATTTGAAGGAAGTTGTGAGAGAACAAGATGTTTTTTTTATTGGTTTGATGGAGACCAAGCTTTCTAGCATTGATA